ATATGGAAAAAGTTCTTTCACTGCAGCGTAAAGAGGTTTCAGCTCAGCCTTTTTTCATCGAACTACAAATGGTCCGAGCTACAATATATGATAAGTTTCAACATGAAATTCAAAACTCCATTTTTGCTTGAAACCCAGGTCACATGGGGAGAATTTGAGATCTCAGCAACAAAGCTGATTGCGCCGGAAACAAGTTGAGGTTGTTCATAGCCCATAAGGGCCTACATATTAAAGATAGTCCCATTCAAAAAGGTTTTTAGCACCTCAATAGGTTCCTTCGTCAGCTCAGCAAGGTATAGAGAGTTCGTTCAAACGGCATTCGAAAGAGAATTGAAAACTAAATAAACGTGGACGTTTATGAAAGTTTCAGTATCTGATCTTCCTGGTCTTTGAAGAGTTTCCAAAGAACCTGTTTTAAATTTTACTTTAAAGTTGAAATCTTTTTAGTGAACACATTTATAACTAACTTTGTAGTCATTTTATTGAATACAATGAACACATTGGAAGTCAATGAGCCTGTTTTAGAGGATTTGGCTGCTATAGCATAACGATTTTACCTCATGTATACTTATGCTATAAGGCAGCAAGCACCTACATTCACATCTGCATTAGCAGAAAGAGAAAACAGGTACACAACGCAAATTTGAACGAACTCTCTATACCTTGCTGAGCTGAGATATTTAAAATTTAAAAAAAGTTGAAAATTTGAAAATTAATTTAAAAATTCAGATTTTGCGTTGGAGACTGATTTTTTTTAAAATGTTCGTCTTTCAATGCTGAATACGAATATCACCTTCAAATTTAATTTTTGACGTTTAGTGTTTTTTAAACTAAGTTTACTCGGAACCTGTACGTCGAAAACCGTGGTTTTCTAGAAACCTTACTTTTCAGGACTTTGAAAAAAACCTTCCGCTAGACAAAAGAAAGAGCATGTGAGAAACCCTTAAGCGCCGAAAACCAGAAAAATCGGACTGCTAGGGTAGAAGTTAGCCTAGACCGACTTTCTCATGTACCACGCCTATTCTAACACATCACTAACTGATTTAAATCCAATATTGACAAAATATATTTAGCTGGATTTTATTAAAGTCATCGTTTCATTTTTCACTTTATTATTTAAATAAGCAAATAATCTAGGTACATATTAAACGTCAAATTATTCTCATCACTGTTCCAGTATGTTTTATTGACTGACTATTATGTCATCACACACAGTGGACATTTTTCTAATAAAGGGATCAGAATTTTTTGCTCGTAAACCATTTTTCCATGATTAGTTATCATTGCTTAGTCATCTCTGATACTTTTCAAGAAAACATCGCTTTTTTTAAAAAATCAGTCTTGTGAGTTGATGGGAAATAATATCGGTGGATACTTTTTCGATCCATAACTTATTATGTTATACATGGTTCGATGCAAATCGATCCGCTAATTCCGATTATGTCATTAATTTTAATAAAAAAACATGTTTTGGGCTGAGAAAAATAAAAATGACATAAAAAACCATGGAATTTTAGAAAATTTCCTGTGTGATGCAGATAAAAAGATGCATTAAAGGTGCATGAACTATGGGATGATCAATAAGATGCTCTGATCATAATTATTATTTCTTACTATTTTCATCAATTTCACCATTTGTTTAATATAGGATAAAATTCAATTTTTCTTCATACTGGACGATTTTTGACCTATTTTCTCGCTTTGGCTTTTCCATGTTTCCCAGGTGAATAACAAAGTTCTACTTTTAGGAAAACATCACCGATACTTCATCGTATACTATGCAATGTAAAAAACTTACTTCGGAACATCCGTTTCTTCACTCAATGTTCGCCTTGATGCACAGAAGAATGATTATTAAAATCGTTGAAAAGATAGCGAAGATCAGTAAAGAAAACCACTACTCACTGTTATTTTTTATTAGTTATCAATATTTTTTGATAAAATATGGTTAGAGCGGGACTGTCTTCATTCAACTATCGCTGTTGGACAATCATTTTTATCATTATATGCTAGAGTACTATGCTGATATAAGATTATCTCGCGTTATAATTATCTATAATGAAAAAGAGAGAAAACATTGAAATTTTAAAACAGTCAAGTTATTTTCAAGGAAAAAGTCAACTGAAATGATCGGGAAATGTAACTATTCATAGTTTTGATGAAGTTAGTCCTTGTAATATTGACTTACAAGTTAGTTTACAACAATCTTTTTGATCGTGTGAGATTCGCTGTTCAAAACGTAGTGTTTGTACGTAACAAATCTAACAGGCCCTATGCACATGATTTGGTATAATCTTTCAAAAAAAAACATGCATAGTTGAAAATTATGCATAATTCACAGGATCCTATGCACAAAAGAGTCCTGTGCGTGATTATCCAAAGAACTTTTTTTATTCATCGTGAAACATCCTATGTTTTATTATGCAAAACTATGTGCATAGGACCTGTTCGATTTCTTACATGGGAAGGAAAGCAGTAAACTATTCATATATTATGTGATTCTCATTATGGTGCCAGTGAGAAAGCTAAAATTTAAAGCGAACAAGGCGGTATAGTAGCGATATATTATGACGGCATGACCTCATCAGAGACAATAGTGCAATAAACTAATAATTCCACTAATCCATATAAGCTGCAGAACTCTTTTTGGACAAAAAGATTTCTATCGGCTAAAACAGAAATCACCAGAAAGTTTAACTTCTTTCAATGCAATTTTCAGAGACTACAACAAAACCTCATGCGCGTCGAGTTTCTTGATGATCTTATCCGGCAACACGCATGAAAGCTTCAATTTGCTGTTAAAAAGCAAAGAAAGTAGTAATACTATTCATCATCTCTCACTCAAAGTCAGCAAATTATTTGTTCCTCTCGGATTTTCTATGTCATAGAAAAGTATAAAATCTTCTGAAAGTTTTTATTACGAAATAAACAAACAAACCAAAAATAACAACAAATTTAAAAAACAGAATTAAAAAAACATATTATGTCAAAAAAGAAAATAACAAATGCCTTATCACAAAAATAAAACAAAAATTTAAAAATAAAATGCCACCATTCTTCGGCGGTGTAATACTCAGGATGGTTCTTCTCATTGTAGTGAATAGGAATGATTACTTACATATCAAGAAGAAGGAGGGCGATTGGCATGGACGGTGAAAAAACAAAAAAAAAAGAGTATTAATTAAAAAGAATATGTTCCAAATATCCATTGTTGTGTAGCTTTGGATGAGTTGCATGTTTTTAATAGTATCGGTTGAGAATTTGCTAGGTTTTCAACATCCAAACATAAACCACTTGGATGATTAACAATAGTTCCGTTCTAAAATAGACATCTTATACATTATTTATTTTATTTTCGAGGTACTGTTAAAGTTGAAACGATAATAAAAAACAATGTTAAACCTTCTCATGTGTCCATGTTTGACCTTTATCGCTATATTCACAATGAACCAATTGTACGCTCCTCGCGTCTCCACTTCTTCCACCAATAACAGCACACGTATCTTCACGTCTTAATTGAGCGTTTTTAGTTAATGAAAAATATTGATTGGCTGATACTCCATTTTGGCATGAGAATACTGACAATGTAAGTGATCCTTTCTCATCTTTTCCTAATGTGTCTAAACATAATGACCTTGCTGGATTATGAACCTAAAGTAGATTATATTTCAATTAGAATTAATACTTTTACACGAATTTCTCGAACCTCTCCAAAACCCAGAACATTTTCATCAAGAATAAATTTTTCTGGATATACATTGTCTAAATACCATTTAAAATTATGACAATTGAGACGTTTACGTATCGCTAGTCGATCAGAAATATCGCCAAAGTCTTTTCCCTGAAATAGAAAAATACCTAGTTTCATTGAGGCTAATTAGGTCAATACATCAAAACATACTATAAGGTCATGACGGTGCATATAATAAAATCTTTTGTAATCGTCCATCCATACTTCAGCTAAACGCATCGAGTTTCTTCCATGAACGTCACCTTTTCCTTTCACTCCTGTCATATTGTATGGATGACCAGGTCGAAAAATATGACCAACCCGAGAACACGGAACGAATTCAAGACTTCCACCGCACATCCAAACCTAAATAAGAAAAGCAAATGAAAATGTTACTATAGCCAGATCACGTACAAATAAACATCACGAATATATGCGTTATGAACTCTTACTCGAAATGATATTTCCAAATTTTCACCACCCCAAACTAAAAAATAAAGGAAAAATATAACTAATTTTCTTCTTTGTAATAAATTTTTTCGCATCAACAAACCTTCCATATCGTCGTCATAGCCTCCGATTTCAAAAAAATATTTTCGATCTGCTGCAAGTAATCCTCCAGCCATTGTAGGCGATCTAAAAATTAGACGATAAAATTCTTATGTGCATAGTTGGCTAACACCATAATCTAATTGAATATATATTTTTCAAATTAATTCTCTTCTCCAAATGAAAAAAAACAAGATTTATACCATCACCCCAAGCAAAAAAGACACTTTTTCACTCTGACTAGTGATATTTTTTCATGGTCAATCAAAAAAATACCTATAGTAGTAATATATTTTGTTTAATTCACGCACGGGTATGGGTCTACACGTGATTTTTGTGCATCTCTTGTTCGTTTTGGTATTGAAATCCAATTAAAATGAAGAGACCACCAAAACCCACCCACATTCGCATCTCCTGTTTAATAAATAAAAGTAAAAACTCTACTACCTACTTATAACAAACGAGAAAGGAAAAGCATTTTTGTGCAAAAACTGAAAATGATTACCTGTGCCACTGTAACTCATATCATGATCGCTAATCATGTCAATACCTGGACACAAAATAGCTGACCGTTTCTCTTTTATACGATATAGAATAGGCTCTAACCTAGAAAATAAACAGAAATTATACCACATCCATATACAAAAATAAAATCCAATTACTCTATATTTTCTGATTGTAGAAATAAAATATTCCGATAACCAAAAAAAAAACACAGATGGTGTTTATAGAACAAAGCAACAGTTGCTCATTTAATACTATAAGATGATGTGTCCTACTGAAATGTGTCTGTTGATGAGTTTCTTTTCATAAGTATACGAGGATATATTCCGGCCCAGTTAAAGTGTAATGACCACGTGAAAATTCCAATAGAACCGCCACCCATACCCATGTAAGCTAGATCATAATTACTAATCATATCAATTAACGGGCACAATAGAGCTGTGCGTTTAGTTTTAATACGATCGAGAATTGGTTCAAGCCTACAGGTACGAGAAGGAGATATTAACTACAACTATAACTACTTGAAAAAGATACAAAAATTTCTATTTTATATAGTTATTAACAATTTTTGTTGGAGTTATTTCAAAGTATTTATAAAATCAAAGATTTGTAGTTATTAACTGAAAATAACGATCATTCAACAAGATTAATTAAACCTACCATCCTTGATTCGCTTCACAATGTGCATCTAAGAAGACAATAACATCGCCAATTGCTGTTCTTCCACCAAAATTTTTGGCTTTTATTAGACCAAGTCTTGTTGGTGCACGTAATATTTTGACTAAATCACCAAAATTCTCTTCACAATAATCATCTAATCGTTTGCCCATTTCCTCTTAAAAATAAAGAAAAATCGACATTAAATAATTATATGAATCTGTTCTTTGTAGAGCGCACGTAGGATTTTTTACCCACCAATGTCTGATTGATCATCAACTAGAATAACTTCCTTTAATAAATGTCTTGGTGAACGATTAATAACACTGTAAACTGTGCGTAATACTGGCGACCATCTTTCATTTTTAAACACAATAATAACGCTTGCAGTGGGTAAATCAGACGTGTAACTGATTGATTTACACCTAAAATTAAATATTTAAATAATTATTTTCAATTTCAGAGTTTAATAAACTTACTGTCCATCTCTTGTGTCAGGTAATGTTCTCCATAAAGATACTTTATCACTTGCTTTTAGATTAAAAAATTCTTGTTTCATTACTACTTCTAAATCATTCGATTCTTCTGGCTAAAAAAATGTTGAGACAGTGAGCACATTAGCCAATTAAAATCGTTATAGGTGTCAGATTTTTTCATATGACAAACTATATGCTAGCAAACCATTTTGATCAATCATTAGTTATCAGGGTATGTGAAGATACAAATATTAGTGCACAAAGAATAAATACCTACAGTCATTCTGACACCACGTCCCATTTCTCCTGGACACCCGTCGCATGGTGGCGGTGGTTGATAATTTTCGGCAGTAATTCGTTGTTTTTTAGGTTTATCATTGGATACTTGACTAGTACTAGACTCATTTTCTTCAATTATTCTTATAGGAGAATGTTCTCGTTTATTATTTTTATTATGAAAAATAAGAAGTCCAATGCAAAACACAACTGTAAGCAATACAATTACTTTATTTCGGCGTCTATAAATTAACCAATATGAATGCGATAACATATCTGAAAGAAATACAAAACACTTTTATAAGTTATTCTGAAACTAAAAAATAAACGTCTGAGTAAAAGAAGAAATTTATAGAAGCTGAAAAGAGTGTTAATATGTTTGTATAGTTAAGCTTTAAAAGTTACATTAACTCAATTAATATAGAAAGATAAGATAAAAGAAAAAATAATCTATGTCACATTTGATCGACAGAAAAACGCACTGTCTACAACGCAAGATAAAAAAGAAAGACGACTGTGTTTTACCTATCACGTATCTCATATAATCTTCATCGGACTTAGATAACATGAGAAAAGAGAAATAAATAATCTAAGTGAACTAACTATTTAGTCTCTTTCTCTCACAATAGTGTACTTATATTCGAACTTCATTTTCACACTAATTTACCTGTATCACACGGATGTGAATTATTCCTTTGATGTTCATTCTAGTGTACAATAGATCTGTTTCATCTAATCTATTTTAGGTAAAATTTCTGTAGACACTGGCAGTGTTGAGCAGTTTTTTACTTCAATTATTGACGATCACAAAGCGATGCGAAATACCGTTTTTTTCTACTTAAAGTACTCATTTTTCACTTGTCATGTGAAAGATAATAATTATAATTGTACAAAAAATCTTGTCAAAACAGTCCCGTTTGGGGCTAAAATGTGAAACTCCTCCTGTCTTTTAATTATTTCGATAACCGTCGGTTTGTAATAAAAATCAACGACATGGATATGATTTCTGAGCAAAAAGATAATAATTATAGTAGTTTTAAGCACACAACCAGAGACTATAAAATCGTAAATAGGCTCCTGATTGATTTGAAGATCATTAATATATACCGAGAACGACTTTTAGATTATACATAGGGGCTCTAAGGTTACAACTGGATTCCGCTATGCAAACTTACGACCTTAACCACTGCCATTATTTATTTAATTAAGATCATAGAGAGGGGGAGTAAAAAGACAGCAAATATGTCAAAATTCTGAGTAAATAACTTACACTCCTCCTACATTCGAAAACTATTCAGAAGGGTTCCATAAAAGTTACTTAGCTTAGGAAACACGGAAGAAAATAACATTCTCTTGAACAACAAACCATCGATTGAACAGAAGACCGTCGCTGTATCTCATATAACTGTGTACAAATGTTGTGATACGAAGTTGCTCTGAACTACTTAATTATTGACTAATAGTCTGAAATAACGAATATGATAAAAAAAGTATTTTTCAAAGAAATCTATCATTTGTACACTTTTCCCACCTGAGAATATTCGTATCCTTTTTTTTGGTTTTCCATAGGAATGCTGTCAAAAACTAAAAATGGCTAAAGCATGAAGAAAAACACCTCTGCGATGGTGCCTTCAGTACTTCTGATAAAATGTTCAGCTCGATTGAATGAAATTCAAGGAAATTTGTAATAACACAATACAGTCTGATAGTAAACAAATAGTTTCGAGAAAAACAGAAAACAAAAAACATTCATTATCGAAAATTGTGAAGTTTCTTCTATATCCGTTACTCAAAGTCAAAAACTTATGAATAATCGATCATTACATATCGGATAGGTATGCATAGGAACATATACGACACGTACGCTAGCATATGGAAGAATCTTCTGGAGAAATTTAAAATTTATAACACATAGTTTTTTAACTAAACAAGTCTATGTACTTTATAAACCTAAAAAGACGCTGGTCGATGTGATAAGAAGTGCATTTTGTAGCATGGTTATATCAGTACTCTCATACAGATATATTTTAGCTACCATCAGCTTCTATTGAGATTAAAAATTTACGATCAACATCGCAACATTCAAAACAAGTAACAGAACTTATTCAAAAGTTGAGAAAAATACCTTACTCGTCCATTTTCCATAGAGATAGATACAAAATTAATCTTTCTAAAATATTTTTACGGATGATTGCTCTTTAACTTATGCTATACTTTACGATACATGGAGAATTATTCTACAGATTAGTTCGCGAGCAGCTATTTGCCAGACTACTACGATGAGTGTCTTCAAGCAAAGTGTCGTTTTTGGATGTTCGAACAGTTCGTACTTGGGTTTTGTTTAAGTCGACATTTTCATTAATCAAAAGATTGTTGAGTGGGTTTCAATACATGATTCATATCTCTACCAGGTTGGAATGGTATTGTATTTTTCTTAGGTTAAACTTATGAGTGACAGATATTTTTTTTACAGATGCAGTAGAGTCAACTGACGTGTTCAGCTTTTTAATGAAAAAAGTAGTTTTCCGGACGCTTAGTTCGACTATATTCATAAAATTGAAGCATCACTTTCGATTTCACTACCTGAATTGTTGTCAATGGTGACTGCTGTCAATTACAGGGCTCGTACCAGTAAAAAAAAGCGCGTTATACTCAATTTGAACAAGGTAGTTGTTTGTATTCTCATAAAAGATCGTTCACCACATGCATCCATTATGAGATTAGTAATACGATTAGCACTCTGCTTTGCTGAAAGTAATTTCTCTTTTCTTGCACAAGGTCTAACAAAAAAAACTATCAACTGGTAACCTTGCGTTTTTTACAAATAGTCAGAATTCGACTGCTCGCAAACATGAAATCATGTCTATTTCAATCTTATTGTTTCCTGCATCATCAACACCCAGAAAATCAAATAGGAAACCATCAAAAAGTCCTTGGTTGCTGCGCATCGCGCTTAAGTGTTAGCTCAGCTTTTTCGCTTGTGCACCCGATCTATCAAACAAGTTTCTTTCCATCGCCTTAATACCTACACGTTAAATAAACTCAGTCTACGAGGAATAACTTTGCAAGAACCATTTTAGATTTTACAAGCAAGCCACAAATACTTATATCATAATTATTTTTGAACAAAATGAGACGTCGCCGAGCTTTCTACGACATGTTTGACATGTTTTCATGAAACAGCATTCAAAGGCCCTGAGAGCAAAGCTTTCATGTTTTTTCGTTAATATGGCTGATTTTGGTGGTATGCGACCTTTTGTAAATTGAGTGCTGTTTCATGAAAACATGTCGTAGAAAGCTCGGCGACGTCTCATTTTGTTCAAAAATGTTTACTCTATACGATGGAGTTATTTACAAAGAATTTCTTGAGTCCATTCAGAAACTTGGTTTTCTGAGATTTTGGTTTTCCAGAGGTCCTGTTTTCACAAATTTCGCTTTATATACTCCACATCAGACTGGAAACTCCTTCGGCTATTCAAATCTTTTTCAGATTTGTTCTTGCTTTTATGGTTGAGGAGAAAAATCAAAAACAAATCGTTTCTATAACGTGCCAAGCACGACTTCAAGTATTAAGAAATCGTTCTTCTTCCTTTTTTTCTTTTGGAGTAAGTCCAAAAAATTCAATTATTTTTCTAAAATTTTTTTTCAAAATGAAAATTCTAATCCGCACACAGTACGCAAAATTTTATGATGCATCTTTCTGTCATAACACTTTATTTAATGCATTGTATTTCTGAAATTGCAGGCAAGGTTTTAAAAAAAATACCTTTTAGTAGCAAAAATGCACTATAATGAAAAAATCTTTTTTCTCTGAGATTCAATCATCGAAAAAAATTCAGGCTATATTCAACTCACTCTGCTCTATCGAACCATACAAAAATCACGCATAAACCATTATTTTTAACCTTTTTCGACATTTTATACCAACACAACTTTGTGATGTTGCTCCAGGTGGCAGTGTGTATAAGTACAAGGTTTTTACTTTTTCTGCTTTCTTACAGCAGCTTTTTTTTCGTAAAGTTAACATTGTTTGTACAATAAAATCAAGTTCAAGGTGGCCTATAGAGGCACCCAACTTATATTATAAAAGCCATAACTCGGCCAAAACGACTTTGTTTCCCGAAAAAATTTTAGGGTATATACAGTTTCAACTCCTCTACAATCTGGTCAAAAAATATATATTATGTGGGGGGATACACCTCCCTTAAAGAAACTCAAACGCAAATTGGGATTTTCGAATCTCTTTTCCTTTTATGGATTCTTTGTACCCTTACTGAATATTTACTATGCTATAGAAAAAGCAACTATCAACTATGAAAGCGCTGTTTTTATAGATACAGTAAACATAATAAGAACTGAAAAAAGAAGAGATTCGAAAATCTTGATTCGTATTTGTGTTGAGTTTCTTTCATATAAAGTCTCACACGATCAGTTACGCTTTTATTTATACTCTTCTTTGATTAGTCATTTCATAAGCCATTGAAATTACTTATTCGAAATGACTTTATAAGACGATGTTGCAGTGGAAAATGTCAAAGCTCTACTTCACAGATATTGATTTTAGAGATAATTATCGATCGAGCAGTGTTCAAACGAAGCGGACTGTTGCCATACCGTCGCTTATGAATATGCCTGCGCTTGCGGACGGACAATTGCTTGCTCAAAACTAGGCATTCATAAATCCATAAATCTCTACTATCAACGTGAAAATTGGAAGTTTCACGCTGATAGTAGAGCTTTATGGATGCCTAGTTTTGATCCAATTGCTTTCTGTAACACTTGTGGAGTTTTCTCACGTAACCTCATTATCAGTTCAAACTATTTAATTACACTGTTACACTGTGGGTACGACTTTGAGTAGTCATGCTTGGGTATTGTTGAGTACTCATATAACTTTTGGCAAAATACTCATGAGTATTGCTCATCTGATATTTTCATATAAAGGAGCGATCTTAGGCAGCCAGAGTTGGATTACACACGTCTATTCACAGACGAGTCCATCTCTGACTATGTATAGAGAGACCACCGAGGAAAAATAATATAAATATTCTATGTTTCTTTATTAAATCCTATGTTCTTTGTACAGTTTCATTTATTATAAAATAAGACGGTGAATGAATATTTTCGGAGTACTCACCAAGTAAAAATACTCCAAACTCATATGAGTACTCATGGACGAATTATGAGTAAATTCTTTCATTAGGGGAGGGAACAGAACTTGACACTCTAAAGGAGGCATGTAGAATATGACTTTTTTAGCGGACCACTGGAGACTTACGTAGTTTTCTATGCTCTGTGGATGACAGGATCAGGAATATTAAAGCTTTTGCGGCTCCTACGTCATTTGATAATGTATGGAGCTGTGTGAAAGTACTCAGTTAGTAGACGAATCTTTTATACATTGGTATCGTTTATGGAAAAGCAATTACCAGCAAAATTTTAAGGTTTTCATTTAAGTTGAATTAGACACATGGTCTTTGATCTTCACCATTTCTGTTACTTATTTAATAGAACAAACATTATGTTACTCAGTTGTCTTATTTTTTGTTCCAATTACTACAATTGAAAAAAAGAAATGAGAGTTATCAAATTTATTCAGAAAGCAGTGGTTCATCGAGTAATAGAAAATAAACCGAAAATTAGGCGTACTAGAACAGAAGAAAGCGCCACACGTATGAACCACACGTATGAGTTTTGAAAAAATAAAAGAATAACAAAAATGAAAATATTTTTCAATAGTTTTACTTGTATCACTTTAGCTTTCTTCGAGCTAACTTCTCAACTCTCAAAATTCATCAACTGCGCTAAATTAGATGATTAACATGATTGTGAGAAAAGTCCGAAAAGTTTAAAGAGTCTCAAGAAAATATACTAATTGTTGACTTATTTTCTGTAGAAAATTCTTCAAAACACGAGAATAGCATCTTTCGCATTTGAAACCACGTGAACATATCAACCATGTAATTTAGCAAGATTGCTGAGTTTGGGAAGTTTTTACTACACGGATCATGATGTTTTTGCGTTCTTAGAAAAGTTCATGTGATGCCTAAGTAACGAAAAATGAAAAGATCAGACGATTTTTTTTTTGAGGAAGACAGTAAAAACATTGTGTAATAAAGGATGAGATCGAAAGTCATAGCGTTCGAAAAGTTCGTAAAATCGATGAGAAAAAGAGAGAAGTTCAAGCCGTGAGATAAAACACGCGAATATTAAAAGCGTGGAGGACATCTGTAAAAGTAAAAGTCGTGAAACAAAAATTAGGACATAAAAACAGACTGAGAATAAAATAATACGGGGGAAAGGTGGAGGTTTACATGTACTGAAAAAAATATCAGACAAAAATTCTTGAGCATCCAGATAATTTATTTCTTTGTTTTTGTTCGCATAACTTCTATATAAACAGCACTAAGTTTATTTAAGCCTTTTAATTTAGAAGTTTTTAGCATCAATTTTTCTTCCTTTGGTGAAGAAAACATTAAACTTGACAAGTAGGCGCACCGAGGACTGAGACTGATAGTCAGTAACTCGGTTTAGAACACGGTTGAACAGCTTTCGCAATGACCTTCAAAGTTGTTAGTATTTTTGTAGAAAACTCGGTTTTTCAGAAATCTTTTTCTAAAGATCCAGATGTCTAGCATAATTTTTCTTCATTAAGGGGGGGGGGGCATTTAGATTTTTCTCTAGCGTTCCCAGTTTGTAGAGGATACTTCGAAGTATATGTTCTGAAGTTTTCTCAGCTTACTTACATTATTTAGCTGAGAAAAAATTACTCATTATTTAGCTGAGAAAAAAATTAATTACTTAAAAAAATGTTATTAAATTTTTGAGCATGGGGTTATTATTACAAAATTTCCTGTCTATTCTCACCCTCACCATTCATCATGAAAACTCAATTCTTGCCTTGATCGATGGAGAAATGTGTGGAGAATATTTACGACGAGAAAATATTTAAAAATGTTTGTTCTTTCCTTCCGGTTATTGACTAATTAGTACTAATTAATGTTAATTTAACCTACTCTACTAGCATAAAGGAGGAAAGTGTGTTTTGATCACCAAAAATTACACTTTTGATCACCAAATTTATTTCTATCGAAATGATCACCAAAAAACTACACTTTTGATCACCAAATCAATTAAACAACATTTAAATTAAAGAAAATATATATAAGAAGAATATATAGCAATTAATTAGCAATGATTACCGATTAATGAATAGACAGACAAGAAAAATAATATAAAGACTTTATATTAAAGAATTAAAGAATTTAAATTAAAGATATTAAAGAATTTATTAATATACAAGTGAACAGATATATTAATAAATTGTATATTAATTTGAACGTTATATTTTAAAGCTAGTAGTAATTATTATCTTTCACATGACAAGTGAAAAATGAGTACTTTAAGTAGAAAAAAACGGTATTTCGCATCGCTTTGTGATCGTCAATAATTGAAGTAAAAAACTGCTCAACACTGCCAGTGTCTACAGAAATTTTACCTAAAATAGATTAGATGAAACAGATCTATTGTACACTAGAATGAACATCAAAGGAATAATTCACATCCGTGTGATACAGGTAAATTAGTGTGAAAATGAAGTTCGAATATAAGTACACTATTGTGAGAGAAAGAGACTAAATAGTTAGTTCACTTAGATTATTTATTTCTCTTTTCTCATGTTATCTAAGTCCGATGTAATTCAACGAAAAGAAATAAATTTTCTGAACCACAGTGCCGTAATTTCGCTGGCTCGAAAATAGGACGAAGCGACGTTTCACTGTTAAAAGAGACTTACCTTTATCAAACTTGAGCCAATCCTCCTCTGAAAACATTCCTCCGCCTCTGTGACTGATTGTCACTATCTCTCTCCCTTAACAACCTTTTTCTCCTTCTAGGCAATCATGAATGTGATATCCACAACAGTTTCATCCTCCCTCCGGGCATTCGTGCTGAAAATTTAGTAGAAAATGACGAAGATAGTGACAATCAAGGTTTAAAGTCTCGTTTTGCAATGACTGCTGATCTCTCACTCTCTTGGAAAGATTTGGATTGGATTCGATCACATACCCTTCTTCCTCTAATTATTAAAGGTATTCTTCATCCAGACGATGCTTTAGAAGCTTTAAAATATAACGTTCAAGGAGTTGTTATTTCAGATCATGGTGGACGACAAATGGATACAAGTTTGAATACAGCAGAAGCGCTGAGAGACATTCAAGCTGTTTTATGAAGGGCGAAGAAACAGTTGGATATTTATGTTGATGGCGGAGTGCGTCGTAGAACCGATATTTTAAAAGCTATTGCTCTAGGAGCAAAAGCTGTAATGATTGGTAGGCTAGTCTTGTGCCGATTGGCAGCCTATGGTGAACAAGGCGTAAGAAATATGTTAGATATTCTAAAACGAGAATTTCGTCTGGCAATGATTCTTTGTGGATGTCAAACAGTGGATGATATTAGAAAAAATAATTTATTGGTGATGAGTGATAGAGAGTTAGCAAAACTTTAAAAAATAAAGAAAAAGTCCTCAATTATAAGAAAAAAACGAAGTCTCGATGTTTGCTAGGAAAAGTGAACGTATTTTTTCCAAAAAGAAGCGATGTCTGAAGTAATACAGTTTCAGGTTTGTTTTCAAAAAAGTAATTTAATAACAAAAAAATAGAACTAAAAAACTGCCATTTTACAGTTGCTTTGTAATTTCTTCGAGTAAAAGCCCTAAATTGAATTGTTCGTGACTAACACCTAACTTTTCAGCCAATTTTCGACATGTTTTCTCAGCGCAAGCAGACCACAACGTTCTATGAGCACTAAAATTCTGTTCGAGAACGGCTAAGACAATAATTGAACTTAATAGTTGTTGGTCAGTGGTGTAGCTTGATTTAAATGATGATAGTGGCTTAGTTGTAAGATGTTGTATATCATCGTTAGAGAGATTCCATAGACCATCAAATGTTTGGAGTTTGATGAGATGGCGAACGATATCTTCCGCATCTGTTGGCCATGAAGGAAGTGAAGCGGATGAACTCATCATACTCATCATATGATTATTATACGGGTAGCCCTTAGTCAGAAGAACATTTTTTGTTATGAGATCATACGGTGATTTTTTACTTCGAATAGTAGTTAGAACTTTTTTTCTGACGACAGGTAAAAACGCCATGTAGGGCTGTCATAAATAGTAACAAAAAATCGCGTCACTGCCATAATTAAGAACAGTTCCTATTTATGGCAGGCCATTCAGTTTGGCCATTCAGTTGAAGGTGAAAACCCAATCTGTCTTCGATAAAAATAGTACCATTCGATTCCTCGTGGCCAGAGGAACATTTCTATATATTTTGCTTTTAAAACATTTTAATTTTGTCCGTCAAAAAAACTTTTTTTTCTTCGAAGGTGTAAAAAACGCAGTGTATTTGAATCTTTTATCATTGTAATTAAGTCAAACTAAATTATTTTTGAAAAGGTTTTGCATAGTTGGATAGAGAATTGTCTCCTCTATTTCAGAATCTAAAATTCCCTTTTATCACTTGAAAAATGGCTGAGAAAATCGAAATTTACGAAAAAGTAACAGGCTTAATATATGTTATATATATATAGTATACAAAAAGAGAAAAGAATTGTATATATAGGACGATTGCTCCTAATTCGAACCACCTTTTAGCTAGTGAAAAGTTTTTACTTTTTCCTTAAAATTTTCTTGGACAACGTATATTATTTTTTATACTACAAAGTATAAAATCGTCTCGCGAGTTCAATGGTATAAAAATTATCTAGTTATCATC